CGTACTCGTACTCGTACTAGTACTCGTACTCGTACTCGTACTCGTACTAGTACTAGTACTAGTACGAGCAGGAGGAGGAAGGCGAGAAGGAGGCTGAAGAATGCTAACCGGTAAAGTAGAGTCTGGCTCTTGCATTGTGATCTTCAAGGTCCAAGAATGGCAGGGTTGGGATGGGATTTGTGTGGGCTCGTGTGGGCCTCGTTGCCTGGACTGGATTAAAATCTTCAGCAGGCTGCTGCCGCGGCTGCTGCTCCCAAGGATCCACACCGTCCGGGTTGTTTTATTCCCTCCAGTCTTTCCGAGTGTGTTGTTGGATCTCAAGCTTTCTTCACAAGCTAAAAGAGTTCTTAAGTTTGCATGGCTTTGGGAAGTTTCATGCAAATACGCCAGGGGGCTTCGTGAACGGGAGTATTGTATAGCTGATATTCAATACGTCAAAACAGTGCTTTTTGAGGATCCGGTGAAGCCTTCAATCTATTATCGCCAGTCGATACGGTTGAGCAATCAATTCAAGGAGAATTCCCACATCAAACTAGACAATCCCCGCCGACCCTCACTGCAACCGAACGCCGACTTCAACAATGGACAGGAAATGTTTTTGACAGAGTTGTTACTCCAAGGATGCTTTCGTCGACCTTTTAACTCGTAACCGGTAACCGTCTTGCTTGTCAAGGCATGTCTTCTTCATCCGGCAGGCTCTTGGACGGTGGGGAGCTGGAGCTCGCAAGCGTTGATGGATTCGGCAAGGGAATGTGCGATGACGTTGGCCACCTCTCCTTCACAGACTCTGCACAGTTCACTTCACTTGTCCACTTTAGCACGAAAACTGCGAAGGGAAGGCTGTTGCTGGCGAGCTGCGCATGGCGTTCGTCCGCTGGCCATTCACGAGCTTTGCCGCAGAGAGGTTTGCAAAAACAAAGCGACACCTGGCACCGGTCCAGCATAGTCTCGTTGCGAGTGCACAGACAGGACTCTTTTTACCTCTTAGCGTTCTGAATACTTGGCCATGTGGCTGCAAGGCAAAAGTTGGACTCGACTCGTGCTTCTCATACTTCACACCGTGCTCAAAGCAAAAAGGAGATGTGAGGTAGAAGCATCCTTTGGTCTGTTCAATGTCCCACAGCTCTTCCCTGTCATACGCTGCAGGGTTCCATACGCTGATTTCGTCACCAGAGCGCGTGCCTCTCCGACGACTTTCTTGTGGTCTGTATTGCGAGTGTCTCTCGCGAAAATGGCTGACCCTCAAGGTGCGAGCTCCCCCGAGGGTAACCCCCAAATGCAACAATGCCGTCGCACCATCGGTGTGGGAGTCCATGGTTAAGTCTCCGCCCTGCCAAATTTGTGCCTCTACACCAGCGAACTGCACTTTGTCCAGCAGGCAACGGCGGACAACCCTAACACTTTCATGCAACTCCGAGTCTTCATCATCGGATGCCTCCTTCTCAAGTACAGATAATGCCTCGACAAGGCGCTCCCAGCAAGCGGATGAGGCTTGCCGGAAAGCGTCCAAGAAAGCTTGGATTCGAAGTGGGGCTGGGTGAGCAGGCAAAAAATCATCGGTACGGGGTACAAACACTCGAACACTTTCAGCTCCCCAAAAGCTGCTAGCATACCAATCCGCCTTCAATATGCTCTCGTCCTGCTCGTTAATGCTGTCTTCCTCAAATCCCCAAAGCTCTTGCAAACTCGAGCTTGCCGTTGGGCTAGTCATGAATGGCCCAGTCGAGTCGCGTAGCAAATAACTCGTCAAATCCTTGGAGTTGGCCACAGCAAATGCAAACGGTGCTCGCCCCATGGGTAGTTGAACACCGTACGATATAGGATGGCGGCCGTCATAATGCTTGAAGTAATGGCGTGTTGGCACGTTGGCCGAACACTGACAGGCAGTGAACATGCAGCACACTAAACACGGTCGCAAACAGCATGCCGGCATGGGCGCCCATGCGGTCCATGTGTCGATCATCATTCTACCTCATGTATTGTTTCCTTCTCCAAGCTTGTCCTCTGCACCATGCTAGTTAGCTGCTAGTTGGTTTGGCACTGTTGTTCTCCTGCTTGCTTGCACGTGCGAAAAGGCGCGTCTACGTATTTCGCAATGACATTGATTGTAAGAGCAACGGGGTTGAGCAAACACTCATCGCTGCGGAACCAAAGCGCAACTAGAGAACCATGTTGAGAACAGAAACGGGTATCAATAATCATCTTGTGATCAACACCGAACCACAGGCTTCATCCCTCCGCGCAGCAGTCAAAGCAGTAGATGGAAGCCGCACATGAAACAAAACACAATGGAAGTATGAGCCCCAAACTGCTACGGAAACGGTTGACACGCGATTGCTGCGAGGTGCTGCAAACTTTAAAAGCCCAAGGGTCACGAGAGGCTTCGGCAGGGGATGGAGCGTTCTGCTGCGGCGGGCACGGGGAAGAGCGTCCAATGTCCAGCATGGCGGTTGTGACAAGCGGCCAAAATGCTCAACAGAAACAGCATTTCAAAATGCTGAGCGCGCAGGCGTAGAAGAGCAATTGCATCTCAAGATGGGGAAGGACAAAGGCTGGGGATACATAACGTGAAAGGAAACTGCATCTGAAGATGGGGGGCGCAGGTGTCGAGGATGTCAAGGAAAAACAAAAGACCACGGTGTGGTGTCCTGTGCAAGTCAACGGTGATTCGAGCGTCGCGTCATAGCACTGTCACAGCAAAACCCCCCCCCACCCCCGCTTGCCGTGGCTCCACGCAGCCATGCGCGTTCGACCACTTCTGCCCGTCTGGCCAGCAGTCGTGTCCAGGGACAGGCGAGCGCATGGTCCCTCAGTGCGTCGACCGCTTGGTCACATCCCTGGGCCGCACCGGTGGGGGTTCAAAGGCAATGGTAACCTCAAGCGACGGCGTGGTGCGTGTGGAGTCAAAGTTCTGCTTGGCTCGCCTGGGATGGCTAAAAGCCATGCCCCCGCATTCGGCTCGGCGTGGGAGTGGAGCATGGCTCGGGAGCTCGGCGGCAAGGCCGGCAACAGCACGCGACTATAGTGATCTATAGTGTTGGTTGCGAGTCGCGTCGCGTGAAATTGCCTACCGTAGCGGGCGGGGGTCTCTCGCCTTCCAAGATTGCTCACCAGGTGGGGCAATCGTTCCCCCTTTCTTCTGCCAAGATCTTGTGGGTTTCGCCCGCTTCGCGCAAACACGGGGCAGCATCTTCTTCTTGGTTCCCCACACACCTTTTAGCAATGAAAAAGCGTTGTTCCGGGCACCAACCCACACTGCCGACTCAGTGACTCACGCGGCCTTGTCGTCGGTGATTTCTTGCGTCGACTGGTTGCTCGTACCCTAGCCCAACTGTTCGCGTCTGCAACCCGCACCAGTACGCCCTGTCGTCACGGGCAAGGGCCGAAGCCTTGGTGTACACCTTGCACGCCCGCACGCAAACTGACACACATCTCACAGTGTGTTCATTTCATGCCTCGGCCGCATATGACCCTGTCAGCCGCGAGGCGATGCTCACTGCAGTGTTCGCACCGCATAAGCTAATCGGAGGGCGGCGAACAAAGTCACCCCCTTACGCCGGCCCTTTTCTCGGTCGCTTTCGCTCCTGCCCTCCATGACCTCCAACGGGAGCTCCGACCCAAGTGCTAGCATACCTCGATGATGTCTACTTCCTTGCCTTACCCGACCGGGTGGCACTGCTCTACCGCCGTCTCGAGGAATTGATCTGGCAAAGGGCCCGACTGCGGTTGAATGCCTCCAAGACTCGTGTGTGTGCCGCCCGAAGGCTGGCGGATAGCAACAACGCGACCAATTGACAGGGCAGCAACAGCCGGCTCGGGAAGACGAGCCCGGGCGAGGAGATGCGAGAAGGCAGGAGACATCACAAAGAAGAGTAGCCGTCTCCTTTCCATCCAAAACCAAACGGATGATTTCGGCTGTGTATCCGCTCGGCAAGGCGGGCCCGGCGAAGGTTGGAGAGCAGCGCCGCCCGGTCCAGTGCGAAAATCCGGACACGGTTTTTACATCACAGTCCTTTGGTCGGGTTCCAAAGCACTTTTCCAAATCAGGAGCCCTGCTCGGAAACCCTAACCCTCAGACCCGAAATTCTCTTCCCAGAAAGCCTTCAAAGCCAATCCAGCTCGAGGCCTTCATGATCGATCTGTGATACTGAGACCCTTATGTAAACTTAGGCCAAAGAAAAACCCTAAAACCCAAACCCTAAACCGCTCAACCCAAACCCTAAACCCCTCAACCCTAAACCCTGAACCCTCTTGGAAAGCAAGGGTGCCAATTCTATCTCTCGAGAGATTGCCGCTATCGTGGTCGATATGCTGATCATATACGAAACACTCGGATGCCATGGTTGGTGCGCCCTGACATCCTCACCGCGAGTGTATTTTTTTTCCCTCCGCACCTTTTTACGTCCGAGCAACGTGTCCGACCGTCGGTACCTACCTGAACGCCTACAGGGCGCTAGCGCAGCGGCAGCTGGCTGGGGGCAGCCCTGGGCGGCTAAGCCACGCAAGGGTCGTGGGGCGCCTTGGACACGAAGCCGCAGTAAAGTCGCAGTAAGGTGCGGAGGAACTGCTGACACTCGTCACTCCAGCGGCCCCCGACTTCTGCTGTGAGGACTACGAGTCGTTGAGGTCCTCCTCGGGTCAATTCCGGGTAGCGCGTGACCTTGAGTCGGCGCGCTGCGACTAGCGCCGTTCCCGCCCGCGCGTCATCACCGGGACGGGGCGGCCAGCGCGAGTAAGGGGGAGACGAGGGTTGCGTCGCAGCATGTCGCAGCACGGCGTCCCCAGCGGTGGGCCGTCACAGGTTTCTCGCTGCAGTGGGTGCAACCAAGGGCCTCCCAACGCCGTGCTGGCGACGGCCGGCTGCACCGCAACGGACAACATGCCCCACCAGCGCCTCGCCCAACCGGCAAATGCCGCGGCGCGGAGCGCGCGCGGGGCTCGGTGAGCCCCGGACGTTTTTTTTTTTTTTCGACGGACCT